GTGTTAAATGTTCCTGTGTTTGTGTTAAATGTTCCTGTGTTTGTGTTAAATGTTTGTGTGTTAAATGTTCCTGTGTTTGTGTTAAATGTTTGTGTGTTAAATGTTCCTGTGTTTGTTTTAAATGTTCCTGTGTTTGTGTTAAATGTTCCTGTGTTTGTGTTAAATGTTCCTGTGTTTGTGTTAAATGTTCCTGTGTTTGTGTTAAATGTTCCTGTGTTTGTGTTAAATGTTCCTGTGTTAAATGTTCCTGTGTTGCTTTATTTGCAGTGAATGCACACGGTGTAAATCATACTGGTGAATGAGGATGATGCTCAGGCCTGACCTGCATCTGTGATCCCAGGACCGTGTTGTTGCAGGCCAGCTCGGTGCGGTTGATGGTGTCCATGCTGTCCACTGGTGCGTGGATCTGTGTGGAGGAAGGCGGCGTTGTGGTGCCGCTCTCAACTTTGGAGACGGTGGAGCAGGCAGAACGATGTAGCTGCAGCAGTGTCTGGATATCTGCGCTGTACTGGTTAGCTTGAGCCTCTTCGTACTGGTCTGTCCACTGGCGAATTCTGCTCTCCCACCCCTCAGCTGTGTTCTCATCCAGCACACTGGCCTCTGTGGTGGAGTTCTACACCCAAAAACAAAATAAACGCTGTGACAACTTATTTCTGAGAAAACATAAGTGAAACATGACTTTAACTTTAATTTAACCTTCATCCTCATTGATTTTCTTGAACCCTCACGAAAAGCCTTAAAGAAGGAAGAACAGAAAACTGTTTAATGTGACAAACCTACAGCCGAAGATAAAAGCCAAGAGATTATTCTGTTTCACATCACTCTCCATACCTTCACTTTCTTCACCTTTGGTGTTCCACGAGCCTTCTCCATGCTCTTCTTCCTCTTTTTGGATTTTCTGCTTTTGACCCGGTTGACAGTGAGTTTTATGCTGGTGGGTGTATGCTGGGTGGCAGTGTAGGAGATGGTAGAAGGTGACACCTCTTCATCGCCACTCTCTGTTGCACTGCTCTCTCCAGCTGTGACAGAAAGCCAGCAATAAGTCAGACTTCTCTAATARGGAGGAAAATACTGTTTATCTASAWGATATTCATTCATATGTGAGTTTTAAATCACCACCTGAGACATTTTCAGCTTTCCTGTGTTTATGTTCTGTTCCTTTCCTCCTGTCCAGCTCTCTGCAATAAAAACAGACCTGCAGGTTACACAACATACTTTATTTGCTCCTTTAAGAAACACTTCTGCAGAGTTAGCCAAATACAACGAGCTAACGGAGAATATATCAGAACTAGAGGACTTTTAGGAATATTTCCTCTAAAAGGACCAGATTAGAAAAAGGGTTGAGTTAGTCCTGACATCTGAAGTAATGATCTGAACAACGTTCTGAAGGGAGTTGGGCTCCATCCTGACACTCATCAGATATCAGGCCGAGGTCAGTAAACCATCAACTGATCCACACTCCACTGTGCTGGCTTGCTGCAGTTTGTATTTTTGCTTGTTTTTTATATTGAAGTTATTAGGGATGCACAGCAGCATTAACATCGATGGCATTGGCAGATATTGGTCATTTTTTAGAATATCTGTATCGGTCTGATAAGTAAAACTGGGCTGATATTAATGTCTGATATAGATTTTCCACTTTTTAGCTTTGTGTTTCTATTTTGGGAGGGAAAATGGTTGGTGGAGTGGCATCTGTTTGATCATGATAGTGAGAGTGATGCTGCACAGCCAGGAATAACTGAAGTAACGCCAGGTCAGAGGTCTGGTCATTTTTTAATGGTATTGAAAAAAGACAAGTGTGTTTGTGTGTATATGTATATAAATAATTTGTGTGTTTGTGTAACATTGGTAAATATTGGTTTTGGACAATTACACCAATAATTACATCAGATATCGATATCGGCTCTATTGGTGCATCCATAAACTTATCAATAAGGACAAAACGTTATCACACTGATTAATATTATTTCAATTCCTAGACCACCTCTGATGCCAGAGACTAATTACCTTAAAAGGGGCGGAGCCAATTTAAATATAAGATCTGGTACAAATCATGTAAAGGACGTTCTGCGTTGGGGATGATGTTCAGCTAGTCGAGGCAGCCATCTTGAATCAAGTTGACTCCAAATGTTAATGAGCTGCAGATATACAGCCGATGAAATCGTTCTGAAAATGTCATTAGGATTGTTTTTCCTCTCCACTGTCACCAGTGTGCTGCTCAGGATGAGACTGGGACAAAGTCATTCAACTCAACCTGCTGGCTTCTTTACAGTGTGTGTGTGTGTGTGTATGWATASACACTTGTTTTTGTTACCCATTTAGGACCGTTTCCAATTTACACACCGACCTTGTCAAGACCATTAGTCCCAATGGGGACCAAAGACCGGTCTTAATACGGTGGAACTCCATTGGTCGGTTGGGGGTTGGGTTTAGGATTAAGGTGTGAATTGAGTTTAGGTTAGTTTTAGGGTCAGGTAGGTACCTGTGAGGTTAGCCTTATGCTACGTTCACAGCGAACGCGTTTTAAGCGGCCAAAAAGCACAAAACTCCTCTCGTTGGACGCACAAGTGTTCAGACCAGAACGAGAAGCAGCAGCAGTGGCTGCAGCGGGGTGTGGGAGGAGCGTGTCCTCGGCAGGTGAATAAAGATAAAATAAAAGAAAATGGCTTTGATTTATGTACTAAAAAGCAAGCGAACGTTGCYCACAGCAGATAATTAACTCACCAGATGATTTAGAGGCGATTTGTTTGGTTAGTTTCGTCACTCCAGAAGCTGTCAGCTCACTGACTTTTTTTTTTGTCCCGAGCAGCTGATTCACATCAGTGCTGATATATCCTACCAGAAAATCCAACTGCACACGGTCGATTTCAGGTAAAGACCTCCAGTCCGTCTGTTTCGGTTTTCAGTGGGAGACGCGTCGAAAAGTTCAGATATTTGAACTCTGGCGGCYGCTCGGGTGGCGGTGGCTTCCGCAGCACCGCATGCGTGGAAAATGCTTCTGCCATCTTGCGCGCCGCCCAAAACGTACGTGACGCGACGCACGACCCCTAGAGGAGCGTCCTCATAGACTTTGCATGTAAACCGGCCGCTCCTGCAGCTCAAAACGCGTTGGGTGCGAACGTAGCATTAGGGTTGGTGGTCAGGGTTAGGCTGTAGAAATTACTGGAAATGACGGTCCTAATAAGGATAAAATACAAACCAGTGTGTGTGTGTGTGTGTGTGCCCTGACTGGTGCTATATAAATAAATTGAACTGAATTAAAAACACTGATTGTTTGAGTTATTTTTTTCTGAGTGTTAAAATTATTATGTTCAAGAGAACTGAAATAGGATTAAAGTCTGGAAACTAAAATGTTTTTTCATAATTAGTTTTTTTATTTATATTTTTTCAGACCTGGAAAATACTAAAAGCAACTTCCACACTTTTAAGACTCTACAGGAACCTTAAATGCTGCTATAAAAGCGAGCAGCTCGTGTGGTTTCTAAATGTTCAGATGGATATTTAAGGACTGGATCAGATGGAAAGAACTGATGGTAAATCTCTAGTCTGTTGTGTAAAGAGGTGGATATCTAAAGATGAAATGGGTGATAATTTGGTGTGGGGTGCAAACATTTCTCCTTGAATGTGTTGGCGCAGGATACAGATGAGGGCGGGGCTTCGTTTCTCACCTGCACTGACACTTGCTGTTCAAGCCGTCGGGGGCCGGGCTGCAGCAGCACCAGCTGGGCACGGCTCCGTCTTCCTCTGACGAGCTGTCGCTGTCAGCAGAGTTGTCCTCTGTGGTTTCGTGGTAGCGGGAACCGCGTACCACGCTATTGAGATCCATGCGTGGAATGATGGTCTGGGAAAGTGGAGAGGCGGGTGGGGTTGGGGGAGGGGGTGCGCCATAGTTGTGATCCTGACAACACACAACGGAAGACTGTTGCATCTTCAAACAACGGGTGTTCAGGCAAAAAGGGAAACGGAAAATGGAGACAAATGAAAATGAGGCATAATAACAGGCAAGTGAAACAGTACAGCTGTTAATATCTAAAGCAGTCTGATTACAGGACAGATACATCWGTTTTTAGCTTTACTTTTACTTATACTTTAAACAGCTTAAATACTTAAAAACACTAGGAAAAAAGACTAGATATTAATGTTTCTAATGTTCAGAAATGCAGTCATCTGATTAAGAATTATACATATCATATAATAAGACATGATCTGTGTGAACTCACAGCATATGGTAGTCCCTGATACCCATGATTCTGTGCACTGCCACAGCTCTGGTTGTTGTAGTTTTTTTCATTCACTGCAGGGCTTGCTTCAACTGACTCAGGGCTGACAAATACAGAAAACAACAATCATTTCCACAGTTACATGCAGATTTCCTTCCTCAGAACGTACATAATCAAATAAAACTAAGACATCGGTCACTAGATGGCACCACGGCACATCACCTAACAATGCTGCAAKCTTTAAAGAGCACATAAATGTGATCCATCACATCAAAATGAGGATTAAATCAAATTTAGTCAAAATGATCTAACTACATTTTCAGATTCTGGCTTTAAAGGCTACATTTTGATACCTGGATCATCCTGACATCATAAGATTATTTAGAGATAAGACTTGATTTGTCTTGATGGTTAAGATCATACACTACTGTTTAGTCTGAATCCTAATTTTACATACATTTACTGGGTATTTTTTATATTAATATAAAGAGGAAACCTCCAATATTATTTGTATATTAAGATTTCCCAGTTGGAAAGAAACAAAAACATTGCTAGCTCACAGGGATATTTCTAAATTTTAAAGCGTTTTTCCTCAAAATCAGGTTTTCTGTTGCTAATGCTAAAAAAAAAAAACTTCAAAACATTTTTTAGGATTATATTTCAGACAGTTCATTCAACTGATACATTGATAAGGCATTAATTCATTATATTTTGACTAAATGCAATTTTAGCACACCTTTAAATCAAAGCCCTATATCTGCCTATTTGTCCACAATCCATATTTGGACTTAATCCTCATTTCGATGTGATGACGGGTCACAAATCTACATTTGACTCTGTGTTTCTAAACAGCTGCATGGTGGCAGCGCAGTGAAGCAACAGCTCAGAGCTGCAAACAGGCCTGGATGGGACCAAGGATTAGCACCAGGTTTTTCATGGGCCGTCTGAGCTCGTTTCCTCCAACACAACTCACTGAGGTTCTGATGCAGACACACAAGTCCAGTTGTTAAGTAACAACCAGAAACCTCCCTGTAGTTTTATTACTATTTTAAATCTCTTACATATGTGTTTGTTCTTCTTATAACATCACATGAAGGCTTCGATAACTCAAATAGTTTATAAACAAACTGTTGCAGGCTAGAGAAGAAAGTTATTGATTAATGATTTCATTTAAGTCGATTGATCTTATCAATTGAATAACCATTAATTAATAAATGGCCATTTTCTTAAAAACCTGAGGTTTTTTCTTGTATTAAGAAAGTCCTCCCATGACCTGAAGGGATAATTTATTTTTATAATTAACTGAATTTCAAAAAAGCAGCACATCATTATACTCTAAAAACTGACAGCTGTATTAAAAACTGAGTGAATAAACAAACATAGGGATTTTTCACACATTATTATTTCTGGACACATTTATAA